GAGGCCTCCGCGCTGGGGTTGCTGCTGCTGATCCAGCGCAGGGCTACAAGGATGATCAGGGGCCTGGAACATCTGCCCTATGAGGAGAGGCTGAGGGAGCTGGGCCTGTTCAGCCTGGAGAAGAGAAGGCTGAGAGGGGATCTAATCAGTGTATATAAATACCTCAAGGGAGGGAGTGCAGAGGACGGTCATGGTCTCTTTTCAGTGGTGGCCACTGATAGGACTAGAGGAAATGGCCGGAAACTGAAACATCAAAAATTCCGTAGGAACTTAAGGAAAAATTCCTTCCCAGTGAGGGTGCCAGAGCACTGGAACAGGCTGCCCAGAGAGGTTGTGGAGTCTCCTTCTCTGGAGATCTTCAAACCTGCTTGGATGCAGTCCTGTGCCACGTGCTCTAGGTGTCCCTGCGTATGCAGGGGGGTTGGACTAGATGATCTCTAGAGGTCCCTTCCAACCCTAAGCATTCTATGATTCTATGATTCTATGATCCCCGTCTCCTCCTCCTCCTCGCAGCGTTTTCAGCCTTGCCCGACAACCACATAAGCCATAACTCCAGCCTGGGCTACCTGGGCAGCGTGGAGAGCAAGCCCCCCTACCCCGTCGCGCCGCAGGTGACTCCGTCCAGGTACTCGCCCATCCCTCGACACATGCTCGGGGACGAGGACTTCACCAGGTGAGTAGCGGCCGTGGGCAGCGATGCTCTCGCCCCATTCCCTCTTCTCCCTTTCCCGCTCCTCTCTGAACGTTCCTGCCGTCGGATATGCCTGCACTTGGTCCCTTCCCTTCTTTTAGCCGTTCACAGTACAAATACAAGTTGTTCTGCTCTTTTGGTGAAATCTGGCGCCAGCAGCACCGTGGGCTCCTGTGCCAAGCGGAGTTTTAAACATAAGGAACAAAAGGCAGATGCTGCCCTTTGTTTTGTCAAGAGAAACAACTAGATGTAAAACTTTCCGCTCCTCCTAAGGATGCAGGGGAGACCCCATCCTTCCCGCTCCACTTGCTGGCTTTCCTCATGCTGAGCACTTTTCCCCAGTTCTGAGCCCGCTCTGGGGTCCATATCCTCTGGTTTAGGACTCAGGCTGTGCCCTTGGGCCTGAGAGCCAAGTCAGGATTAGGATTTGCTCTGTGGTTACGGCTGAGGTTGCGGACTGGTTTTAGGCTTGCGGTTGCAGTGAAAGATGTCCCAGTTTGGGCTGGGATTGTCCGTTTCTCTCCCAGATGGGAGAGGAGGAGCCTCTAAGGTGTCCCCCGGCATCGGTGCTGCCCGGGGCTGTGTCCCAGAAGCCGCATTCCCTCGCATGGGGTGGCTCTGTCCGTGTGCAGGGGTGGCACCGCGGTGACAGCAGCGGGCGAGCTGTCCTCCATGGAGAACATTGGAGATCACATCCAGGGTATTGATTCCTAGCTGCGCTCCACAACCTCCGCGGCACTCGCCGCGTGTCCCGCCGTGGTGGCGGTGGCCGAGGTGCCACCTCCGTGTCTGTTCCCTATATTAATTCCCCTCCGCACGTAGCACCCTCTGTGGCACTCGCTTCCACCTGCGTGTCCCACCATGGTGGCGGTGGCCAAGATGCCACCTCTGTGTCCATTCCCTGTATTAATTCCCCTCCGCACGTAGCGGTCGTGGTGCTGGCAGGGCGCTGAGGGCAGCTAGTGCCATCCTGCAGGATTTAGGCTTTTACTGACCCTGCTGCTGTGAAAACGCCCCATCTGCCCCTCTGCCAGAGCCCCAGCCCCCCGAGCCCGTCCTGGTGGTATTTGAGGTGCCGGGAGCAGCCTCGGAGCCGAGCTGGATGCTCCCCGTGCAGCACGTGCCGGCAGCCGCTAGAGGCTGGGACGGCTTTTTTTTTTCCAGCTGGTCGCGGGGCTCTCCCGGGGGCATTTCCAGCTGGTCGCTGGCGCTGCCATGCCGGGAGCACGGGGAGAGCAGTCGCGTGCAGCACCCGGGACGGCAGCGCTGCCGGGGTCCGCCGGATTGTGCATCAGCCGGAGGATCCGCAAGGATCGTATCCTGCCTCCCTGCATGGGAACTGGTGAGCGGAGTCTGGATCACGACTGAGACGTGGGAAGAGGGATTTACCCACCCGGGGCTTTATCTCCTCTCCCGCTTGGTTCTTGTGGTGTCTCCCTACCTTCACTGAGCTCTCTGGTGCCCATCGGTGCTGGTGGCTGGTTCCTAGGCTGCCTGGAGCGAGGTGGAGGCAGCAAAAGGCAGGTTCATCACCATGCCCGGAGGTAGGCAAGGCTGGCAGACCCAGAAATCTGACCTATTTCTTCCCCTATAAGAGCTGTAGCCCCAGGCTGGGGCTTAGAGCATATGGACTAGGAGCTGCAGTGCTCCCCGTGCCCTCCGACCGGCCTCGGACACCTCCGTTGCCCCACGGCCTCTCCCAGGATTGCTGCTGAACTGGGATTTGGTGAGACCAGGAGATTTTCCCTGCTGACAGCCTCGTGGCACAGGGCTCAGGGTGGCTCCTGGCTCTGCAGACCAGTTCGGTCCCTCTGTGGCCACTTGGCCTGGGAGATCCCACTCCCAGGCAAAAGCAAAACCAGTTTTACCTCCAAAGCCGGTGAGCAGGGACAGGACACGAGTGCTGCACAGGGGCAGTATCTGCCCAGGGCTCCTTCTATTTAAACCTGCTCTGTGCCTCAGTTTCCTGCCCTGCGGAAGCATTTTGGTGATAGCAGCAGGTCTAGGGCACCTCACCTGTGTGCTCATGGGTCTCTCTAGGACTTGGATTGGAGCCTCATTTGGACCAAATGGCCCCACTTTTGGGGTCTAGCATTAGGAAACATGCCCCGTGCTGCTGGAAAGACCACAAAAGGTCCTAGTAGAGCCCAGCAGAGAAGTGTAGGCAGCTTAGACCAAAGTTATGACTCCTCTGTACCTCTGGATTTGCAGGAAAGGTGCTTGAGCAACGCACGGTGGGTCTGCAGAGCTCCAGGCATGGAGAGCTGGGCTGTGGGAGCATCTGGGAATATCGCACTGTGGATTTCCCTGGCTTCTGTCCTGCCTGCAAAGGCAGGAAGGGGTTAAGTCCGTAAGGTCTAGTGCAATTAAGTGAGTGTTGAAGCCTTTGTCCTTTCTGAGCTTCCATAAAAAACCCCGGCGCGTGGGTCTGGGAAGCGGCGCGTCCCGCAGCAGCGGCGGGAGCGAGCGGGCAGATAAACAGCGCGCGGAGCCGGGCGCGTTCAGAATATTCCTGCCCGGCGCGTGTCCCCCGCGGGGTGCGGGCAGGGCC